CGAACAACTTTGACATTCATCATTTCTCCGCTCGACACTTGTTGACCTTAAATGGCGCAGACATACTGAAGGAAATGGTCCCTGGAGAGGAGGAGGAAGGTGGGGGTTGGAGGGTAGAGGGTAGAGGGAGGGGTGGTGGAGTGGCGGGGTGGTGGAGTGGCGGAGTGGTAGACATTACCTGACTTACAGTCCAAGAAACTGACAGCTAATCAAAATGTCGCACAAAGTTCATTAACAACATTTTCCAGTCAATTGTCCTGTCAAGGTGGGCAGCATATTCCTGCATAGAGTCGCCGGATCTGTTTGCGTTTTGCATAGACAGCAGCAGATGGAGGAGCAGAAGGAGGAGCAGGAGCAGGAGCACCGACTGAAGGTCCTTGTCGAGAGGTCGTTTAGGTCGAGCCAGCACATTGTTAACAACTTGGCATAAAGTTGTTTGTCTTTCACCTCAGCGTGTCGATGACACGACTACGACTTACGACGGCATGTCAAGGGGAGACAGCGGGTAGGGTTGGACAAGTTTATTGCCAGGCAAATCAACAAAACTTAACGAACTGTTCCTACATTTGCTACTACTTGGAAAGCATGGACCGAGTCCCACTCTATTCCTTTGGTTATCCAATGAACTTGAAATGGACAAAAGAAGACATCGCAAACAGACTCTCAATTGCTTATGAAGCTACACAGATGCTAGCCATACAACAAATAGCAGACCAAAAGGCCAAACAGACACATCGAGTTCGAGTTCGACTCACAATAATTTTCTCCTTTCCTGTAATACAAATTAGCAGTACTTAGATATTTATCACTTTTTCGGATAATACATTTATTTGTTCTAAAGTAAAGTGGCAAAAAAATATTTGAATTTTCCACAAAGCAGTTTTCCCATGCGATTTTCCCAAACAAAACACCATTGAAATGTACATTTAAATTTGCATATGGCTCATAAACTTTGATAAATTGTGCAAAAGTTGATGGTACAGCTTTTAGATGACCTTGAAGCTGCAACATACATATATACACATACAAATGTCAATACATATATATATATGTATATTGTCTGTGTGTTGCTAGTTTTAGCTTTAATTAGATTCATTTTGCTTGGAGGGCGTCTAATCCTCGCTCTCACTCGTTGTATCTTTGAGTGTGGCCAATGTTTCTAAAGCCATTTCCTGAACGTGTTTTTGCTTTTAGTGTACTGGCTTTGGTTGAGCTCATGTGAGTTACGATTTCTCTGTTCTACTCAATATTTATATGCATGCCGTTAACTGCATAAATTATTTGCATATCAAATGGGCATAAGAATCGTGTGTGTGTGTGTGTATACCTCCGTGGGAGTGTGTGTGAGTGTCTTCGTGTGCGTGTCCGTGTTTTATTTAAAATACGAGTAACGAGACCAGGCTGCTGGCACGCACAGACTGCCAACGGGCAGGCCTTTGCCTGTGTGACTTCCTGGCACGCACAAAAGCGCAGGACACGCAAACAGGTCAAGGATATTATGCATATGAATATACAAAACGAGACCATAACAAAACCAAACCAAACAAAATACACACCAAGCCAAACGAAACAAAACAAAGCCAAAAAGCAGTTGACAGAAAACGCAGACAAATGTTCATCAACTGCAAAGCAGACGCAGTCGCCATTTTAGCTGCCATTGTCGTTGACATTTCTCGGCCATTGTTCCTTAAGTGTGTTTGCGTTGCTCTGTGCTGTGCTTGTGGGTGTGGGTGTGGGATTGGGTGTGGTTGTGGGTGTAAAGTCGCACAAATGAACGCGTAATTGTTTTCACATGAATACATTGCGTAAATATATATGTACATACATATTTTCTCTCTGTGTGTGTGTGTGTGTGTGTGTATTTACCACACACATTAAAACAAAACCCGCTGCTATTGCATGCAACGCGCATTCATTTGCATGCCGCGTCTGGATGAGCGTCTGTGTCTGTGTAGATGCTGCACATTGCCAAGTCAAAGGCGTTTTAATCTGCTTACCTTGGCGACAATTCTCATTTCTATTCTTTTTTTCATTCCACCAATGCAAAAATCATTTGCATGATGTCGAGACGGCGCACAGTAGAGCCTCAGCCGCAGACAAGTTTTGTGCATAAAATTTAAATCTGATGCTGAAAAATGTTTAGTATATTCCGAAATTTGGCAATTCGATATTAGATTATTTCAATTGGATAACTAGTTTATCTGATCTAGTTGCTTAAGGTTTAATATTTGTTCTCTACTTTTGGGAAGAAATAAATGTATAACCAATGTATACAACGAGCTTTTTAAAAACATTGCAGATGAATTCCACCAGCTTCCGATCCATATCGATATCAATGCGATGTACATTTTATATATCGATTTCACTTATCGATGAGTTGTCCGTGGAGGCCAAAAAGCTGATAAAAATTAGCATAAAATTAGCTTTCATTTATGAACTTGCCATAAATATAATATTTAATTTTGTAAGGTAATTCTGGAGCGGAAATAGTCGACAGATCCCACTGTGCGATTGCGTAGAGTTTTGAAGTTGTTGCTGAGTTTGCATTGCCGTTGCTGCAGCAGCTTTGCTTTAATTACAGCCGAGGATTCACTTTGAGCGCATAAACAAATTGAAAATTGTTTATGGCATGCAAATTAATCAAATCTCTTTCTCAATTAAGTCGGGCAGCCAGTCGGTGCGGATGCGGCGGCTGAACTGTGCCTGGCTCTGGCTGGGACAGGATGACAGAAGGCGCATCGAGATAAAGCACTCCGGAAATTTCATCTTGTAAGCAGTAAGTGCAGCAGCTCTTGAGCACAATTTGCATAGTGAGGTATTATTCCCAGGATAATAATTACTATAATTAAAGACAAGCTGAACACGAAAATCGTTGCACAATTCGTTTTTTTCTGACCTTGCAGAGCGCATCAGAAATCTCACAGCTGGAATATTAATAAAGATCATTTAATTTTAAATTTAATTAAGAAGACCTAAAGCAGTTGTTAAGCTTCACCTCATTCAAATATATTTATAAATAAATATCAGCTTGTTTTGTTGCTTAGCGAGAGTATTTCATATTCGGCACCAGGCTAACTTGCAACTTGCCCCCTTGGGTGGAATGCAGAAAATCGTGTCGCCCTCAGCTTGCGATTAAATATGTTTAATGCATAATCAAGTGATGTAATACACACATATACAATAACAATAACATCAATAGCTATTGTGTTGTTTTAACTTAAGCTGGCCAATGTTGTTGGCCAATTAGCACAACCAATGCCTGCCCAGCCTACCCTGCTTTTCTTCGACTTGCCACATGCAACAGCTGCATGCAGTCGATGTTACATTTTGGGTCACTTATGTGGCTAAAAGTTTCGCTCGTGCTCATTCCACCAGTGTCTAGAATGAGTTGGCTCATTAAAAACTAAACTGTAATTATTGTCGGGCAATGAATATAACGCAAGCAGATCCATTAATCATAGCTAAGTGGATTTTGATTGGGCTGCCTGTCGTAGTTCAATTGTCTGCACTTGGATACTCTAAACACATGAGTCACCATTGCTGATGAGCCTTAATAGCTAGTTTCACCTTTTTTGCCAGGACACCACATAGAACAGGTTTCCTTATCTTGCGGGTTTGCGGTTTTATGTAAGCAGAGTTTTATGCATTGGGACATCTACTGAGCTTATTTAATTACACATTAAATAAAGTAGGCCGCACTAAAGCCAAATCTTGCATAATCCGTCTAATTATAATTTAATTCAATGTAGGTACTTTTTTTGTTTGCTTTTCCACTCAAACGAATTTTTGACGACCTTCACCTTCGGCAAAAAAACAATAAATAATTAAAAATAATTACTTTGTCAGAAATTTAACCGAAAACTGAACTAATTTAACTCCGAAACTCGGATTCAATAAATGACCTTCGCTTGGCACTTTGACTGTCGCACAGTCAACAAATACAAAATTGTCATTCTATCGGAGGTTTTCATAGTTTTCACTACAATTTTTGTAATTGAGACGCCCAATTGCGTCCAGAAGAATTGAGGTCCTCGAACTCAATATAGCTCATCATCGCAGTAGCTGGCTCTGACGCAACTATTGACGACATCGAGGAATCCATTTCCGGTGTCACTTGCAACAGTTGCCTCAAAGGGCAAAAGCACAGGAGACAAGCAGGCAAACAGCGAACGGGTAAAAAGAAGTAATAGGATTGGGTGGGGTGGGGTGAAGAGTGCGATACACATCTATATCTACACATGTGTATCCCGACACTTGCTGAACTCGTATCAATTATGGAGCAGATTCACTATTTCTGCAACTGGCTTAGAGCACAAGTGATTAACACAACGCGTCGAAGCCGAAGAGAAAACCACTGCAAATCAACAGCTGGCGAAGAGGCAGCATTTGCTAAATCGCTCTCTCTTTCTTTTCTCTCGGCCAGCACCTAATGCCTGCATGTGTGGTAAGCGAGAGAGAGAGAGAGAGAGGGGGCTTCCTCAATTCACCACAGCGCACACGCACACATTGAGTGCTGGCAGGAAACTTACCACGATGTCTGCTCCGTGCTGCTCGTCACCGCCAGCGCACATAGCCGCCAATCAGTCTATCGTTGAACTCTGCTGCTGTTTGTTGCCCCAGTGGCAGCTACCCAGTGACTTTTCCAGTGGCTCTCTCGCAGTGGCAAACGGTACGTGTGTGTGCGACGACGACGGCGACGGCGACGACGACTACAACAGTAAGACGCGTGTTTCGCCCGTGCTGCGCCCCTGCGTCCGTTCAACAAATAGTTGATTTGGCTAACGCAATTGTTAAGTTCGACTCAAATACGCGCCACTTTTTTGTGATTATCTTTTTTTTGTCGTTTCTTCAATTTACAACTACCCAATAAAAAAATATAAAAAAATATTGCAATCGTGCTAAAGTTGTTGCTATCCAAAGGCAGGCAACTTAAACAAATGCCGGGAGAACAGTGCGTATGATAATAATAATAATATAAGCAAGTGCTCGAAAATGCAACAAATACAAATCGAAACACATATGTATATTAACACACATCAAAGTGACCAAGTGTAAAAAGTTGCATTATCGAAATATCCAACAATTTAATTCACCTAAAGCGGTTAGTACAAATTTCAAATTTCTCAAACACTATAAATAAGTAACAAGAATTGCTTACACTGTCACAGATGTTGCATTTGTGGGTTGTTTTCTCCAAAAACTGAATTATACAAAAATGCACTAAATTAGTATTATTAACATTTTCGGTTCCTTCGATGAGGTTGCTTTGTTTCTTGTAAATGCTGGGAGTTAGCACGAAACAGTTTGATTTAATTTCTATGATTTGCCACCAACGAATTCAATTTGCCAACTTTCCTACTTTATGAAAATTCCAAAATAAAAGTGTAGTTCTTAGAAACTTAGGCTCTCGCACATCATGAGCATGGTGACACAGAAAAAAACCGTCGGAAACATAAGACTAATAAAAATTAAAGTTTCCGGAGTTTTTTGTTATGCGAATCGTCAGATAAGTCAGTGGCTTATGGACTTAACTTCCTCAATGAGACTGTCAGATAACAAAAATAAAATTGATTGATATTTATGATTAAATTTGGTTCGATTTAGGCTGAAACAAAAAAGAATTTAAAGTGTGATGATTTTAAGCAATCATCAAAATACATATCTGTGTTTATGTGATTTGTTTATTTTTCAAGTCTCTTATTTCGTTTTTAGTTAGAGCCATCGAAATACACATCAGTTTGATTCGCATGTTGAAGCGAGATAACTACTTAAATCTCTTTAATAGTTTGCTACGGACAATTAAAGTGCCAGGAAAGTGCAAATAAAATATATAATATATATATATATATATATATATATATATATAATATACTTAACGTCTTTAGACTCTGGCCTTTCCGCTATAGTCATGTTTTCGCTATCTGGGAATGAAATTGGCTTCTGCCAATTCATAAGATTAATTCATGACTTGTGCCACAGCACAAACAGACAATATATGCACAGTGTTGGTAAACGTTGCCGAAAGCAGGCAGTTAATCAATCTTGAGTTTCAAAAACCGATAAGCAGTTATAAATATGAGCGAGGAAAAACCACACCAGAACCAAAAGCAAGAAATATAGAAAAATACATGTCCCATCAGCGGAATGATAAAGAAACTACTCGAATTTGAAAGTGGCTAAAAGCATTGAGCAAAAACCGTGACAACAACATAACAGCACGCAATGATACAAAACTGAAGCAGAAACAGCAACAGGGCCAAGGAGCGCGGGGCAGCGAAGCAAGAGGAGGGGCAGTGGGACAGGGAGAGGGACAGGGACAAGCGTTAAGCATTTTCTGGCATTGCCGGGCTGCAGAAAAGGATCTACATGATTTATAAGACACATTAAATTGAATATTCAACATAATGTAGCATTTAAATGGGCAACACAGCAACTATCTACATATGTACTATATATACATCATATATACATACATATATATACATATATATATATATTTATATTTATATATATGCGTGTGTGCGTACACTAAATACAAATACATACATACATATGCGTTGCCATCTCAAGGTTCTTGCCTCGCAATGGCATTCTGTGGCTTACAACTGGCCAAACGGTCTGGCTGGGGCTGAATATCTAATGTCTAAGTGACTTTTGGCCGCGTATAAGAGCATGCCACAAAATCAAAATACTTAGGCAGCACCTAATGGCATGCCTAGTTGCTCCATCTTATTTTGTTTTTTTGTTTTGTTTTTGCGTTTTGCGGAGCTTTTTATTAAAGTATCACATCTCAAAGTTAAGCCAGCAATTGAGTTTTTTGCCCACAAATGGTAAAAAGAAGAAGAAGAAGAAAAAAAAATACTGAAAGCGCACAACTTTTAGCGTCAAAAAATTATTTAACTTCAACGTGTGCAAAAGTAATTTACCAAAGCAGAACGTAGTAAGCATCATAAATCACACGTTCTGCCCTACAGCAAAGTGCCAACTATAACTGCAAATACTGACACACACACACGCACACACACATACACACACACACACACACACACACACACGCACAACGATGTGGGCACGCGTTACGTGTGCAGGTCAAATGTGAAAAGTCAGCCAATTTGGGCCACATTTGACAGACAAGGCGGCGTCGTGACCAGCTGCCCACCAACTAAACGTTACACGCCCCCTATGCCCCCTATATACCCCAATACCCCTACAATACTACACTCATAGTGCACCATTTCCCTTATCTCTTGTGCAACTTTGACGCTGTTTTATCAATAACTAGAAATGGCTGTAGATGTGGACTAGTGATTTGATATTCTCTTATCATGATCTGAATCCATTAGTTATGCAAAAGTATGTAACAGGCAGAAAGAAGCATAATATATAATAATATATATTGTTGATCGGGGCCAACAGCCGAGTCGATAGAGCCATATCCCTCTGTATGCACAAGCAACTCTCAAAGATTATCAAACACTGTCGACCAAACGACCAAACGGACAACAGACATAAAATCTGTGAATAAATGCGACCAGTTACGCAAGAAATGCGATAGCATTACAATTGTTGAAAAACAACCGATAAGCTATCGATACCATTAGCTATCGATACCATGTAGCTATCGATACCATAAGAAAGCACGCCATAAATAAAAACAGCATAACAAGTTTGTCAGACAGCAGCTGAGAATCAATTAAAAATATATATATGTAGATCGATCCAATAGATCCATAATGAATTTTAGCGACAAACTTGGCAGCATGGATTTCTTAAAATTTTTAATGCACTCCCAGCAGCTGACCAATTGGGTAAGTAGTAGATTGCCGTTTTCATGCAACGTTTTGGCAACGTGCTTAACTGCATTTACAGCGCTCCACTGGCGGGCCAGAGCTGATGTACATTGTCCTGTCGCACGAGAGCTGCGATCTGGACTCGGTTGCTAGCACACTGGCGATTGCCTACTTGCACTTTCGCAATCGGGGCATATTCAAGCACAAAATCTTGCCAGTTTTGAATATGTTGCGTTGCGACTATGCCAGCAAAACGGAGGTTAAATTTCTGCTCGAGAAGCGGAGCATCAATGCCGAGACGCATCTTGTATTTCGCGACGATGTGCCCGGCGATCTGTTGCAGTGCAGTCGCTTTATTTTGGTCAACCATCATGTGAGTCCGTTTCACTATTGCAGCGAGGAGGTCTACGACTATCGGCCCTATCAGTGCGAGGCCGCCCGTTTGCCTATCTATTGTCAACGGATCATGCATCCGATGCGCTCCTGTGCGGCCATCGTCACCGAGCGCTACTTGAGTCGCATCTATAACTCGTCGAACGTGCAGTGTTTGTTCGTCTTTGAGCTGCTGCATGCCGCACTCCTCTTGCAGAATAATTTTTTCGAATATACACTGGAGCAGCTGTCGGAGATGCGCGACTTTCATATGTTGCTCTACCTGGAGAAGCAGCTGGGCATTCTCGATATGCCCAAGCGCACCATTCTCCGCGACACACTGGTGCGTGCCATGTTCAATTTAGACGAACTGACACTGCCACAGATTCTGAGGCGCGAATTCAAGCTGATGTGCGCAAAGAATGAGAACTATTTTGTGCGAATCGCCCATTGTTGTTTTCCCATGGCCGTGACACGTTTCATCTCGTATGAGTTCGCAGAGCAGGCGCTGCGGGAGTTGGGTGCAGAGAACAAATTGAATTTTATCATGCTACTGGGCACCAGCACCCAGCAAAAGGGCGGCCTGGGGATCAAAGAAATCGGGATTATACCGCTGGACGCACTGCGTGCCGTCGGTGATCGCCGTCTGTTCGATCATTTGATTATCAATTTAAATGCGGCAGATCAGCCGCTGCTATCCCTGGAGCCGTACCGCGGTCTAGACTTTATGCGGGGCGCTTTCTTCATTATCGATGAGTGCAATATTAAATTTTATGATATACTAAGTCTCATGCAGCGCATCATCTACGACTTTATATCCAAGACAATCTAACATTGTTTCATTTTATTACTATTATTATTATTATTATTATTATATGTGAAAATGACATATGATAGCCCACTCAACTTCACCCACCCATACACCTTTCTACTTGCGAGTCTAACTCTGTTTGTATGCTCATTTGACGAACTTACTCCATCAACATTTACACAAGCTAATCCACTGTGGGATTATTATGCAAGTCAACAACTGAACTCTGATATAATGCAACATGATTAAAACCCTCATCAGATATCAAAAATATGTTAATTATAATTACTTGAATGGCATTCTCTTATGTAATTATTTGTTTTATGTATGTATAATTTAAATAAAATACACAAGAGAGGTGAAAATGGTAATCGTTGAATGAAAAATTACTAATGAATTTCTGCATATGAACAAAGTAGTTGTTAACTTTTTAAGCAACGATAACAGATCTGATAACAATCAGATAAGTGATTTAATGGAGTCAAACCATAAGTGAACTAAATATGAATTGAAGCAACAGTGCTGAAAGCCGAAGGCTTTTAAATTATGGTTTGCGTACGCCCCACAAATACATGGAAAACTTGGTCGCTCTGAGTGAAGATTATGGAAGAAAGGCAGCGGGTAGGTTTGGGGAGGGAGGAAGGTGGCTTCTTGAGCCATTACACAATGCATTAATCTAATCATATGAGAATATGTGTGAGTTACTCACGCAGTCAGTTGCCAAATTCATGGACTCAAAAGTGGAGCTTAATATATGTATGCATGTGTGTTACCCTCTTGTTGTTGCTGCTGGCACAAACAAGCACACTCAAACACATACACACACCCGCACACACTCGCACATGGGCAGAAAAAAGTATTTGCAACTTGATTTATAAGCGCGCTGATGTCAGTTACGTGCACGCACTCAATAATGGCAGCAGGCTGCTGGGTATATGGGGGGCGGGTGGTATAGGGGAAGCGGGGATTGGGGATTGGGGATTGAGGATTGGGCGTCGCATGTCTGTTGTTGTCTTTGTGCTTTGGCAACAAGGATTTGCAAAGGAGTCGCCGCTATTGCTTAAATTGCTTGCAACACTTTTTTTTTGTCCCCATCGCCATTTGCCATTTGGCTTTAATAAATCGCTTAGACCTCCACACCTGCAGTCTGTCCGCGCCGCCCCGCTCTCTGTAGTGCTGATAACAACGACAGAAGTCAAAGACGATGAAAAACAGGAAATTCTCTGACGTCAGTCGCCAGTCGAGAGTTAAGCATCGAGAGTCGACATTATTTTCTGGCGCCACTCGAAACACATCCATCAGCCCCGCATTTGTATGAAGAACTTAATGCTCCGGGGAGGCGTAGCTCGGTCAGGTGAAAGGGCTTTGGCTGGAGCTGCCTCCCTAATTGTTACACTGCTCGTTTTTTTTATTACTATTTTCGGTATACACTTGCACAGGGTAACTTGAAATGCATGATGCTTTTGAGGAGACACCACATTCTAACAGACATTGTTATTATGGACAAGGAAAATGAGGTGCAACTTATTTAATGAATTTAGCTGATTTCGCAAATTAGTAGCATTTATTTCACCCGGTTTTGCTACACAAGTTTCATTTAGAAACATTTGGGTCTACTTCTAATACAACATAACTACACAAATGTGGAGTATACCATTAATAGCCAGACCTGAAATAGGTATTGTTAGAAAAATATTTGTTTAATTGCAATTTTTTTAAAAATATTTGTATTATGCATAAATTCGTTTAATAAAACGAAAACATAAATCGAACAAAGTGGTAAAATTCAACTGTAAATCAAATTTGTTTAAGACAAACAGAAATATGATAATTCGAACTCTGGAACAAAATTTAGATGCCAAATTAAGTTCTTCGTGTTAACTATTTTTAATGTATTCTGTTTATATAAAACGCCTCCAGATGCTTTGCTCAAATTGCACTAGAAAAGTGTTTTGTTTTATTGCCTTGAAGAGTATCTAATCGTCGTCATCGCATTGATAGACATTCATGCCTTTTGTATTTGGTTGTTTTCTCTGTTTTGCTGCAGGTTTTTTTCTTTGCGCTTCTTGTTTACTATTGCATACTTTTGTGCGCTGGGCGCGTAATGACGATAATTGCTGTTGAGCGCAGCTCTAAGCGGATTTTAGAGCCACCATCACCTGCAACTAAATGCCCACTCTCCCACTCCAAACAGTATTTAGCTGTCTGTGTTGTCAACAAAAGTTTTCGCATTTGACTTTTATTCGTATACCCTACAAACAAAAGAAATATGTGACTGACTGACTACAATATACATAGACTATTTGATAATATGTTTCACTTATATATGTACATATTTACATATTCTTTAGTCGTCGAACTCTCGTTTTACACAGTCAACAGTTGTGGTATTATATCAAATTAAGGCATTTAAAACTATAAATTTTTTTATTTACTTCAGCTTAATTTTGTAATAATATTATTGTAATTCACAAAATTATTAATTTTTCGATTTACTTCAGCCTCAGCTTTAGATATCAACATTTTTTAATATGTATATATTTATACCTTTCTGTATTCAGCTGACCAAAAGCTATGGCTGCACTTGTAGAGCATTTCAAAGTCGTATTCGCTTTATTTCTTTAAGCGCTCTTATTTATTATTTCGTTTCAGTAACGCGAAAAGGTTTCCCTTTTTAATTTGCACTTGCCATGGGTAAATTGGTTGTGCATGGCAACGTTTGTATTTCAAAGAGCGCACGAGGCTTGCATTAATTAAATTCATTAGAAGGTTAAAAGGTGCTCCCAAGTAGACATGAAGCTGTTGTAACTGCTGTAACTGTTGTACCTGATGCAGCAGCTGAAGCATCAGCTAATTAGCAAATGGCTTAAAGTGTGTGGCAAACGAAGCATATGCGTGAACCAACCAGATAGAGCAGTCAATATGAAAATACCAAGCAGCAATAACTGAGACATCTGAGGCACAACTCAGCTTGACTGCAAAAAACTTCAAATGCAATTAAATATTGCGCGCGATTAACTTGAACTGCAAGTCAAGCACTTTGGCAATAGGATATGGCCAAGCAAACAACAGGGGCAGCTGGGGCAGAGGGGATGACTTTATTGTCCGACTTGCCAGTTGCCCAGCATGCGCTGGCTTTGCATATTTCCGGCTTCCGTTTTAGGTTGCGACATTGTCCCGCATTTTAATGCCGGCATTTACTCTTGGCAACTTTTACCATTTCAATATACATACATTTTCTTTTTCTATTTGCCTTTTTGTCTAAAACTTGTTTACAGGCCCAAAATTATTGTGAAAGACGCTAACATTTATGACAAATATAAAAATAATGCGGTCGCGTGGCTGGTGTGAGCTTGGTTAGAGGGCTGGGTGGCTGAGCAGTGAGCAGTGAGCAGTAAGCAGTGTGGGGTGTGGGTGCGGGGTGGCTCTGACATTGGCTTTGCCATGTAACAGGTAATTGTTTTCGTGCCTGTCGTTTCGCTTCATTTGGTTTTGTTTTCGTGGCATCGCTTTTACTTACTTTTTTTCCTTTCTCGTCTTTTCTTTCTTTCGGCTTTGGCATAATTTATTGTATTCCTTGTCTCGCATTTGCATAAATATTTTAATTTGCATTTTAACAAAATGTGAAATTTGTTGCGGCCGGCTTCACAAAGTCTATATATGTATTTTATATTATTATTTAAATAGTATATGTGAGCTGTGTATATCCAAAATGGCTTTATTGTTCTCTTATTTATGGTTCCAGGCTTTCTCCAAGTGGTTGTCTTATTATTCTCCGTACCTATTTATTACTTAATATACTCTAATACCAAAAGCTTATTATAAGCACTTTTAATAGCAGCTCACCAAACTTTAAAGGGTCTACAAAGACCTTGATATAAGATCTATATAAACATGTTATTAGAAGAAGAAAAGTAACAATTTTGCGCCACTAATTTTATTTATTACGATAATTGCCGCTCAATCAATTTTAATTAAATTTTGCCTTGATTAGGCATAACATCAGCTTTCTCTCAGCTTTATGGAATATTAATTAAATATCTATTAAATTATACTGTTTGTTTATTAGTCTGTTGGTTATTGCATTCCCTAAATACAGCAACAACAGCAAAGTTGGCAATTGATAGTTGAGCTTTTGGTCATATTCAAACTGAGTCTTTTCTTATTACTCGTAGCTGAACAGATATATATATATATATATATATAATTCATAAGACTTAAGCTTGATAGATGATAGACCTTGCTTATCAAAGCAATTGCAATGATTAATCTAATTCAAGCCCAATCCGACACTTAAAGGTTTGCAAGCAATGATCCTCTGGCAATTATCGAAAGCATTTAAGCGATGGCCTGCCAATACTTACAAATAAATTGACTGTCTATCGTACATATTTGATACGGACTATGAGCAGTTACGTAACTGTAATTGCAACTAAATTACAATATCCTTGGCAAGTGTGTAAAATGTATAAAAGATGCGAGTTAAATAAAACTGAATTTGTGTGGCATCAAACGCACATAATTTAATAAAGTCGAGGCGTGTTAGGGGCTCGACATTGCCCGGCGGCGTTTGTGCTCCAAAGCCGGCAATCACTTTATTATTAAGCTAGACGCACACTCGCTCACACACACACACACACACACACACACACACACACACACACACTCACATGTATCCGCAGACACAGTTCATAAAAAAACAAACAAAATAATGGCATCAAATTTGAAGATTTGATGCGGGAAAATGCTTTTCACGTTTTTAGAATTTTGGTGGCTTTTGTGCGCGTCTAGGCAGCTTATTGATAGATAATATATTTATATTTAAATAACACTTCATCATTCTGCTGTCGATGACGATGTTGGGGCCGCACTGTATTGTGCTAGGCGCACGAACAACGCTGCGTATGCGTAATATTGTTTGCTTTCATGTTTCGATGGTGGAGCTGGGGCTGCGGCTGCGGCTGCGGCTGTGGCTGCGGCTGGCGCTGCGCTAGCGGCTGCGACAGCCTTATAAATAAACTTGATCCATTACACACATACAATTTGACTTGGCTGCTGTCTTGAGTGCGATAAATTTTGGGCTTATGATTTCAGCCCTTTTATTATTGGCCACGCCCGTTGTTCGTTCAGCAGCGCATCGAGTGCCTGCCATTTTCATCTCATTTTCATTCAATGGCACAGTCTCATTTTCATTTTCATTTTCCTTTTCATTTTCGTTTTCATTTCCATTTTACTTTTGGCTTTTGCCCGTCCACTCAAGCGTAAAACAACGCTCGCAAA